CCCCCAAAACCCCAAAACCCCAAGGTTAGCAATGTTGGGTTGAGTTAAAATTTTTGTGAGAAATCTTAAAATAATAAAATAAATACATCATCCGAAATCATAATGTCAGATAACCTAATCTCATCTAAGTAGTCGAGCAGAGTCTAAATTTTTAGGGTATTTAAATTGTTTTTCTAATTTTATAGGCACCCAATTAAGGAAGAGTCTCCCCAATAAACAAGTAAACTCATATTTGCTTTTAATCAGTTCTAAAATCCATTAATAGTCAAGATAAGTCTCGCTAAATTTCTTCTAAAAATGATATTGAGTATGACGATAATCAATTGCAAGAGAAATTGAATTTATACGAATTACTCAGAATTGAATTCTAAAAGGTAATTTTCTAAACACATCTCACAATTAATAGCAAGGAATATCATTTATGATTCAAAGGGCTTTGAGAAGAGTGTCACTTTAATGTAAGAAATAACTCCTATTATAGAAACATATTCTCATTGCATAATTTGATATAGTCACCACAGAGAACCCTGAACTTTGTAAAATAGGCCTTCTCAAACAAATGATGAATATATCTTAGGTAAACTTCTAATATATTAGCTTATTGATAACTTATCTATAGCAATTAATGATGAATGAACTTGAGATTTCTGCCTGGTAAATGATTAATAAAGATATTGAGTTGGTGAATTTGCCAAACGATTAAATTTTACAGAGACTGATGATGACGGCATTAAAAGCAAAAAAATTTGTTTAAGAGGAGAGTGAAATGAAGGTCTTCACTATATTCCTAACTCATAATTACCCAAAATTAATGCAAAGTTTCAATGAATGGGAAGAAGATACTTAAATATATGACAGTGGCCTTGATATTAGTAAGTTAAATGAGTGGTTTAAACAATTGTACACCAATGCTGATGAAGAAACCTTATTTTACAGAGCTGATACTGAGCAAGATTACAATTTCATAGTTGACTATATCTTTTGAAAAACAAAATATTATTTCCTAACCTTAACTCTATTACCTTTAGAAGAAGAACATATTCGAAGAGCAGTTCACACTACAAAGCAAACTGATTAGAATAGTGATGCTAATGATGATAAACATGAGATATTTAACAAAAAATGGATAAGATCAACTGATCTTAAAAGAGAACTAAAAGAAAAGATTCAAAAATAAAAATAGCAGTAATAATAATAATAAAGCCAAAGTATGACAACCAATAACTCTAAGATTGACAGGTCAAGGAGCAGATCACCTATGAATGATAATCTTACCTTATGTCCTTAGAAATAGATAATTTTTAAAAAGGAAGATCTTTAATATCAGAATCATAATTCTAAAAATAATAACAATAATGGAAGTACTAGTACACATTAAAATTTGAAATCAGTCAAAAGAGAATTAAATAGTGGTAATAGTAATAAAAGAGAAGAGTGCTAAAAATCCTCTAGGCAAGATTAATAGCATTAGCAAACTTAGAAATAAAATTAGTAGTCTTAAAGTAACTAATAATAGTAGCATAATCTCTAGAATGCTTATAAAATATTTAACAATACTACTGAGATATCAAATAATACAACCAATACTACAAACATAAGCCAAAATACTAATAATACATAGATAAATGCTCCTCAGACATTTAATCAGATCTACATTAACAACTCTCAGTTCCTTATTAATCCCTTTATTAATGCCAGAAAAACAGAGGATCTTATGACGAATTCTGGATCAGTAAATGAAAAAACACCTTCCTCAAATAGCAAATTCGATGTGCTACCAATGTTTAATCCTAATAATAAAAGCAATGAGTCATTAATGACTCTTAAGCAAGCTAGTTTCACTCTTTATGATTTATTCTAAAAGAAAAATCAGGAATCATAGTAGCAATAGCTAAATAACTAATAAAGCTAGGCAAATATGCTAAGATAGAATAACCTCAGCAATATGAGCAATGGGCTAATGGGGCTTGATCAAAGTATAAGAAGTCTATTTCCTCAATCATAAATGAGTGGATTTGGCTAATCTGTGCAAGGATTCCTGTAGAAAGGAGGATAAAATAGCTAATTAACACCTTAGATGTCCTTCTAGCATCCATTTGGTGTAAATATGGGAGGTGCTGGATCTGCTTTTGCTTTGCCTGACATGATCCTTTAAGGATCATTTCCTACATTTTTTATGCAAAAAAGTGGAAGTATCGACAAATCTAGAAATGGCAGTTTCATTCAGTTCTCAAGGCAAAACCAAACTAACAATAATAATAATAATGCAGGATAAAATAACTTTGGCTTAATGAATCTGGCCAGCCAAACTTCTCTCAGCTAGATGGGATCTAATTTAGGTTAGAGTAATAACACTATTTAAAACATAAGTAGCCTATAATTTGATAAGAATACCAAAGACTAATAACAAATAAAAAAATAAGAATGATATTAAATGGTTATTTAATGCAATATCATTAAACTTTACTATGAAACTATGCAAAGGCTTATAAATATTTATTTAATACATATCTCCTTAATTTTTATATAGAGAAATGCAGGGGTTTTGGGGTTTTGGGGTTTTGGGG